CTGTAGCATCCTCCTCCCTGTGAGCAGAGCTGGAGGTATTGTTTTACAGCGGTTCCTTTCTTATCTGTAGGGTTGATTTCAAACGAGTGTTGACAGAAAGTGCCTTGATGCTGTTGTGATTCAGCAAATAGGCTGAAGTTGAATCCCAATCCAATTTAGGTCCTGTAGATAGATGGTGTTTGGAAATTTAGTAGTTTTCTGGACCAGGTCGTACCTTCTCTGCAAGAAGAGGAACCTAAACTAGTGCTGCTCATTGAGTCATCGCTGTTAATGGAGGCATAATTATGCAAATTTTGCCCACAATATGGAAGTGGCATCTACCAAGAAATGCTTAAGTTTGTGATAAGCTGTTTTATAAAGCTGTTCCTCTTTCTTTAAAGTCTCAACTACAAATAAAATAATTGTTGGCTTTTTAAAAACAATGCCAGTACCTGTACCCTCCCTAAAAATATTAAGATGGTTCCAACTTTCTACTGTCCCTTATAAAGTTGGTATAGTTCCTGTATTCCCATCATAACTCCAGTTGGAGCTGTAAAAAGACAGCTGGTGTTGGCTTTGGTTCTGCATTTCAAGGCATGCTGAGAACTTCAGAAGGCTAAGCCCAGCTAATATTGACACATGTCTCTCTTTAGTTCAAAGATAGTAAATACTGAAATGACAATGTGGGGGTTGATTAGGTTGTCTTCAGAGGCATACAAAGTGACTTGGAAAGAGTTAGGCAAACAAACTGCACTTCCTTTCTAGCTTGAAACTGCAGAATGGGAGCTTGTCATCTTGGTGTTATAATGGCACATCTCAGAAGTTCATCACCAAAGTAAATGTCAAGTTCTTACTGCTTTTATTATACATGTCAGAATGCAGAAGAAGTCTTGCCACAGTGAACACTCTGCGGCTCCTACCATATGTCAGCTGGCAATTCAGATGGTTACAGAAGTTAATTTTGTAAGCTGAAAGCATAAGAACTCTACTCATTCCAGTATGTAGAGCAGCCCCTGGTGTTTCTCTTTCAAACTCTGATAGAAAGTTTGAAAGAGAATCGCCAGGGGCTGCTCTACATATCGGAAAGCTAATATTGGCTGATCAGTTGGCATGACATTGGCATGACTGGTAATTTCATTTTAACACCATTTCGTAGTCTTCCTGACTTTCAGTCTTGCCCTGAAAAGTGAAATACAAGACAAGACATTTTTTAAATTCCCTTTTCTGTAGGCTGCTTATCAGAAGATGCTACCTCTGTATTTTCCAAGATCACTAGTAGAGGAGAGACAGTCCCTGCCTTTACTTCCTGAAGATATCGGCAATGCAGAAGGGGAGCCAGTCGTGCCAGAGCGTCAGATTAGAATTAGTAAAAAGCCAGGTGCTTCCGAGGGTGAGTCTGCCTTTGTGCCAAAGTAATTTGTTGAAGACTTAAGACAGGCAATCAACCTTACTGGGCTGAAAGCTTTCAGAACTGCACATTATTTTTAATATAAATTGTATTTCTTTATGAATTTAATTCTGACACATTTTTCAAAGATAGTTTATGTCGGTTTGATTTTTATACTTAAGAGTTTTAATTATGTATGTATATATGTATGTTAGAATTTTTCAGTATTGTAAAAGTATACAAAACAAACAAAAAAGAAAGTAACAAAAAGAAAAAAAGAAGGAAATTAAAAAAAGAAAACATACAATTATGCCTTCCACCCTTTTTTCTATTGAGTAATTATCTTAATCTTTTCCCCAGCCACTTCATCCCTTTTTAATCCTGAAATCATCAATTTGATCTTTTTTTCTTTCAACGAAAAGGCCATATAAGGTTTCCAGCCTTTCAAAAAGGTCTTTATCATTTTTTCTCTGACCAATCTGGTCAGTTTTGCTATTTCTGCAAGTTCAGTTAAATTTATAATACAGTCTTCCACTGTAGGTATTTCATTGCTTTTCCAACTTTTTGCATACAATAATCTTGCCGCAGTTACCATATACGATATTAATTTCCCATATTTCTTTTCTAACTCCTTGTCCATAAAACCAAGTAGGAATTATTCTGGTAAGAGTTTCAATTTTTGTTTGG